TTTACTCTTAATTTATTCTCAGTTTTAATTAGTATTTTGTATATTACAGCTATTCCTGATGGGAGTTTATTCTGTCAATGATTGGCTTTTTTAGCATTTTGTACTCTTGGTACTGAATCCAATATTCCTAATTCATGAAACCTTTTTTGTGATTTTAATAGACTCTATTTTTAGAGTAATTATAGGTTCACAGCAAAATTGAAGAGAAGGTATAAAAATTTCCCATATAACCCTGCTCCCACACAGACATACCCTGCTCCACTGTCAATAGTTTCCACTAGAGTGGGATATTTTTTACAGTAGATGAACTTACATTGACACATCATTATCACCCAAAGTTCATAGTTTTTACATTAGCGTTCACTATTGGTGCCACACAGCCTATAAGTTTAAACAACTTTACAATGACATGTATTTACCTTTAGAGTATTATACAGTGTAATTTCACTGCCATAAAAATCCTCAATACTATTCCTGTTCATCTACCCGTCTCTGCTAATCTCTAGAAACCACTGATTGTTTTGTAATTTCCATAGTTTTACCTTTTTCAGACTCTCATATATTCTGAATTGGAATCTAGGGTGCAATCCTGCAGTATATAGCCTTTTCAGATTATCTTCTTTAACTTAGTAACATGCATTTAAGTTCCTCCATGTCTTTTTATGGCTTGATAGCTCGTTTTTAAGCACTGAATAATATTCCGTTGTCTGGATGTATCACAGTCTACTTATACATTCATCTACTGAAGGACATCTTGATTATTTCCAAGTCTTGGCAAATGTAAATAAAGCTACTATAGCATTCATGTGCAGGAATCTGTGTGGATGTATGTTTTTGACTCCTTTGGGTAAATGCCTCAGAGCATGATTGCTGGATCATATAGTAGAGTGTTTACTTTTGTAAGAAACTTTCAAATTGTCTTCCAAAGTGGCTGTACCATTTTGCATTGCTACCAGAAATGAATGAGAGTTCCCATTGCCCCATATCCCTGTCAGCTTTTGATTTTATCAGTGTTCTTGGATTGTGGCCATTCTAATAGGTGTGTAGTGGTATCTCATTGTTGTTTAATTTGTAATTCCCTGGTAACATATGATGTGAAACATATTTTCATTTGCTTATTTGCCATCTGTATACTTCCTTTGGTGAGGTGTCAAGGTTTTTTGCCCATGTTTTATTTTTATTTATTTTATTTTATTTATTTATTTTTTGAGATGGAGTCTTGCTCTGTCGCCCAGGCTGGAGTGCAGTGGCGCGATCTCGGCTCACTGCAAGCTCCGCCTCCCGGGTTCACGCCATTCTCCTGACTCAGCCTCCTGAGTAGCTGGGACTACAGGCACCTGCCACCGCGCCCGGCTAATTTTTTTTTTTTTTTGTATTTTTAGTAGAAACGGGGTTTCACTGTGGTCTCGATCTCCTGACCTTGTGATCCGCCCGCCTCGGCCTCCTGAAGTGCTGGGATTACAAGCGTGAGCCACTGCGCCCGGCCTGCCCATGTTTTAATTTGTTTGTTTTTGTTACTGAGTTTTAGGAGTTCTTTGTGTATTTCGGATAAGAATTCTTTACTAGATATGTCTTTTGTAAATATTTTCTTTGAGTCTGTGGCTTTTCTTTTCCTTCTCTTGGCAGCTTCTTTCACAGAGCAGAACATTTTAATTAAGTAGTATTCAACTTATTATTTCTTTCTTTTGTGGATCATCCCTTTGGTGGTGTACCTAAAAAGCTGTCAACAAACTGAGTCATTTCTATTTTCTCCTAAGCTATCTGCTAGGAGTTTTATAGTTTGACGTTTTACTCTAGAGTCTCTGATTGATTCATTTTTAATTAATTTTATGAATTATATGAATACCACAGTTACTTTCAAGCAGCTACACAAATTTCTAAATTCAGTGGAAACATTGCATTTATTTTTGGTATGTTTAATTTTCATTTTTATTTTTTATAATTTCAACTTTTGTTTTAGATTCAAGAGTAAATGTGCAGGTTTGTTACATGGGTATATTGTGTGACACTGAGGTTTGGTGCTAAACATAGTATCCAGTAGCTAGATTTTGGCCCTTTTCCCGTCACTTCCTCCCCACTCTAGTAGCCCCCAGTGTTTCTTGTTCCCATCTTTATATCCATGTGTACCCAAGAAAACATGGTTTTTAACTGTAATGCTGTGTTCCACAAAAATATATGTTGATGTTATTTTATTTTATTTTATTTATTTTTGAGACGGAGTCTTATTCTCTTGCCCAGGCTGGAGTGCAGAGGTGTAATCTCGGCTCACTGCAACCTCCGCCTCCCGGGTTCAAGCAATTTTCCTGCCTCAGCCTCCACAGTAGCTGGGATTACAGGTGCCTGCCACCATGCCTGGCTAATTATTTATGTATTTTTAGTAGAGAAAGAGTTTCACCATGTTGACCAGGCTGGTCTTGAACTCCTGACCTCAGGTGATCCACCCGCGTTGACCTCCCAAAGTGCTGGGATTACAGGTGTGAGCCACCGCGCCCAGCCCATGTTATCATTTTTACAAACATATTCAGTGTTGAAATTTTAAAGTGAATTTATGATAAAATTCACAATAATGTCAGATATTTCACCATCAAGAGTATAAACTTCAAATGAAGTTGATCCAGTGAATAACATGAAAATAAATAAATTGGAATTAAATAATTGGAGTTAAAAGAAGGGTATAAGGTTTATGTCTAGATAAACTTTTTTGCATGTAGATGTTACATTGTTCAGGGCCATTTGTTGAAAGACTTTTTCTCCACTGCATTGCCTTTGTTTCTTTGTCAAAAATCAATTGATTATATTCACCTGCATCTATTTCTGAGCTTTCTATTCTGTTCCATTGATTTACCTGTCTGTTCTTTTGCCAATATTACTCTGTCTTGATTACTGCAGTTTGTATCAAGCCTTGAAGTCAGATATTGTCAGGTCTCCCACTTACGAAACTCTTTAAAATAAATTAAAACAAAACAAAACAAAACAAAACAAACCCTTATTCAGGCCAGGCATGGTGGCTCACGCCTGTAATCTCCCCTGCTCCGCCCCAAGCACTGAGGTGGGCAGATCACGAGGTCAGGAGTTCGAGGCCAGCCTGGCCAACATGGTGAAACCCTGTCTCTTCTAAAAATACAAAAATTAGCTGGGTGTGGTGATGCACGTCTATAATCCTAGCTACTCAGGAGGCTGAGGCAGGAGAATTGCTTGAACCCGGGAGGCAGAGGTTGCAGTGAGCTGAGATCATGCCGCTGCACTCCAATCTGGGCGACAGAGCAAGACTCTGTCTCAAAGAAAAACAAAAACAAACCTTTACATTTATAGCTATTTCTTTAAATTAGGGAGTCTTTTCAGATATGTAAAAATATATGGATTATTGTGTAAGCATTTCCATAATTTAATGTGCTTGGTAAATAGTCTTGTCTAGATGATTACTTTTTCTTTGAAACTTTCTGATATTGCCATATTATATGAAAGAGTTTCCGTCTGTCGCCCAGCCTGGAGTACAGTGGCACAATCATAGTTCATTGAAACCTACTGAGACTACTGTGCTCAAGCAGTCCTTCTGCCTCAGATTCCTGAGTAGCTGGGACTACAGGCTTATGCCACCATGCCTGACTAACTTTTTAAAATTGCTTTTTTTAGAGATGGAGGTCCTTCTATTTTGCCTAGACTGATCTCAAACCCCTGGCCTCAAGCATTCCTCCCACCCAGGTCTTCTGAGTAGCTGGGATTACAGGCCTGTCTTTACCATTTGCTTTTAAAGGAATGTATTAGATCTGCACTGTACAATTACAGTTAACACTGGTCACGTGTAACTTTTATATTTTAAATTAATTAAATAAAATTAGATTACATTACATTTTTATTTTTTTCAGTCACACTGACCACCTTTCACGTGCTCAGTACCCACATGTGGTTATTGGCTATCATATTGGATGACACAGATATAGATCATTTCCATCCTTGCACAAATTTCTTCTCAACAGTGCTGCAGACTGTGCATGTATCTGTTATTTACCCTCCCCTCTGTACTCCAATATTATACCTGGAAATACTTTTTTTAATGCCTGTGGATATAAATAAAGTCTTAAAAAGTAGCCTCATGTAGAATAACCTTCTGCCTCAAATTCAGGAGAAATCGTTGTTATAATACTATTGTTAAGTCACAGGTGTGTTGTTCTTACTATATTTTAATTGCATTATAGTTGTTTGAATAGTTATGTTTTAGGACATATACATTGTTATAGTCACATCTTCTTGATGTTTGTAGTAATGTAGTTCTACTCTACCATGGTTTAAAATTTATGTCTCCATAGGAATATTATTAGCTAAGCTCAGTAGTATGAAATGCTGGTTACTGTTAACTGAAATAATTTTGTATTTGTTGTTCCAAATTTAAGTCTTAGGAGAAATAGAGGAATTTAGAAAGCTTTTTGAAACTCAATCTAGTCTTCCTTGGAAATAGGAGTACTATGATTATTTTTGAAAGAAAAATTAGCCTACAGGCTTGTATTTAAATATGTATATATATATTATATATTTCTACTAAATTATTTATGATAGTTTATTTTTTCCATTTTATATACATGCTGGATTCTCAATTTGATTTTTAATACTGCCCATATACTTATTAGGAGTAATTTCAATGGTGTATTTTTACAAGATAAATTTCATGTTAGTTATGTGACACTTTATCTTTCATTGTTATGAATTGCCTTTTTACTTTTTGCAGTCTCGTATTGAAATGTATCAGAAACTATAATGTAAAAAAAAAGTTGGGTAGAAATCTTATCATTAAAAGTTGCAGCAAGTCATGAAAACGGCTCATGCTTTTATTGCTGTTTTGATGTTTTTGATGGCAAAAGTACTGAGAAAAAAAAGTCTAGATTCACATGAGAAGCTGACAGAGTGAAATATCTTAAGGATTGAAAGGGGAAGTGGAAGTTATAATTATTGTGTAGATTCACAATCCTTGTATTGAATTACTCACCTTTGCTATCATGCTGCAGGCCATAGAGCGAGAAAAAGCCGAGAAGTTCAGAAAACTGCAAGATGCCAGCAGATCAGCTCAGGTCCTGGTGGAACAGATGGTGAATGGTAATTACACAAGTTGATTTAGATAATCTTCTTAGGGATTTGATAAACACATAGGTACATATTTATCAGCTGAATTATATCAGACAAGCACTTCTTGAATACAAATTTAAATTAAAAGAGTTCATATGTTTGTATTATTCTTTTTTTAATGCTAAGCAAATTATTAGGAGAAATTCAACTTTGAGTCAATTGGAAGAAAATGGGAAGTGGTAGAATATTTGATCAATCTGTTGCAGAGAAATAAACTTTAATGCAAATCCTGCTAGCATTTGTCCAAATAATTTAAGAAAATAAGGTTTACAGAAATTTGAAAACATTAATAGTCATGTTATATATGTAAAACTGATCATCCGATTTTAAATCATTTTTGCAATGTTTTTCCAAACAGACAAATATTAGATGGAATGTTTTAACATCATTCCTGTTTTCTAATAATATATGTGACATTTTCTATGTTACTTTTTATCACTTTCTCTCATTCAAAAAAAAAGTATCTTCGGGATAACCTTTACTTTAACTTTTTTGGAGTGGGATAAAAGCACAAAGCTAGCAAAACTTTTGTCTTTTTCAAGAATAAATTAAAATTAATCTTTGCTAATACTCAGTGCCTCAAAAGCTATGTGTACCAAATATGTCATTGACATCATGTGTAAACAACCTTCTTTCAATTTATCATTGCTTATACTACTATATTTCCAGATAAAATTTCATGAAAATCAGGGATAATGCTATTTCCAAATAAGACTATTTTTCATTTTGTGGGAGATGTTTACAAGAACATCATAAATAAATATAACAAATGTTTTTGTTGTGCATGTCACCTTTTTCCAGGATCTGCCTACATTTTGGGGTGTAAATTCTGTGTGTAAGTTATTTTTTGCCTTAATTGTAAATTTGGCATTAAAAAGTTCAGTGGTCTTCCTAGAAAATCAGTTCATTTTCTTCTTCTAATGAGTCCCATGACTGCCTATATTTGGTTAAAAATGAAAACAAGCAAACATAACAGCTGAAACTTGAGTGAACAAGTTTAAGAACAGAGAATGAAAATATCAATAGATTTTTATTTAGATGTATGATGCTTGGTAATTTTAACTGATGAACTTAACAGCATATTCATGTTAAATAAAATTATGTGATCTAAAAATATCCTCCTAGTTATATAAGTTCCTCCTAGAATCTGTATTATCACTTTTTCATTTTAATAAGCTGATGCAAGAGCTATACTTTAAATGGTCTCATTTCATAATTATATATCAAGCTTACCTCACTTTAGATCATCTGATAACATACACTGAATTAATCAGAAATAATTTAAACGTTTAGAAATTAAGGGTATGATTTTTAAGTTTTGGTAAGTAAAACTACATGCAGGATTTAAATGATCATGTGACTAGTGACAATATTAGTTTTCTAGGTTATTTCCCTCATAGTTCTAATTTTTGGAGGCATGTAGAAAAATCAGGACATGTAGTAGTTGCTTAATAAATATTAATTGACCAAATTCTATTTAGCAAAGCAAAATTAAGGCAGTCATGGAGGTAATGACATTGGTAATTTTGGTGTGAAAATAATTAGTAATCCTCCTGAAGGAAAATGCTGACTTTGGCAGATACCAGGGAACACTGGGGGATAGGGGTATGATTTGAGACATTCCTTTTTGGTTGACTATATTGATCAAATTTTATGCTACCCATTTGTTCTACCAGTAAATATATGGTCTAACTGATATGTCATTAGGCTCAAGTTTGGGTCATAACTGGGATGACTACTTAAAATGACCATAGCTCTGTTTCCCCATTAAATAAAACAATTTACGAAATTACTTTAAAAAAAAAGGGCTCAAATATTGTAACTTATCTGTTTGTTCCTTTTTTGTCTTTCAAGGAACAAATTGCATAATATTTATTTTCTGTGTTTGTGGAAATTGTGAGATAAGCTAGACACATATTTAAGTGCCTGGAGTATCTCTTCAGGTGTATTTCAGAGGGACTGCTACCCTAAATCATTAATAGCTCCTTTAGCACAGAGCCCAAAACTACAGTTGACTGGTGTAGCTCATGAAGCTGAAAGACAAATGAAGCTTTCTGTAAATGAGGATTCCAAGAATTATTGCATTAAACCTCTTAAATGTATAAGTCCAGAATCGTCCTTCCCAAGCTTAGGCTATGGAGATATAATAAATCTCACAGCAACGTAAGACACATACATTCTTGCCCTTTTTTATAGAAAGGAAAATGAGAGCTGAATCAGTGTACTTCATTTAGGACCTCATGTAAATGACTGTTCCTCTTCACGTATAGTTTCCTCAAAAATTAAGATAAATATAATCACTCTTGTATAATACCATATTATGCCACTAATAAAAATAGATATATTATAAATATGTGTATATATTTATAAATTTGATGTATGCTGACAGTGAAAACATTTAACATATATTCATAGTGTAAAAATATGTGGAATAGCATAAGCATAGCTATTATATATTTTAAAAAATTCTGTGAACTATATTTTACATGTATCTATACTGGTACATGCATAGCAAACTGAATTTTCTACTTCAAATAATTTGCCCTGAGATTAAACTACTTTTTAAAAATCTAGAATAATTTTGTAACTCATCAGTTTGCTTTTAGAGTGAAATTCCAAGATGGAAAAAATAATTTCTCACAATTTAAATTTTACTTCAGTTTTGACCTGAAATGGTACATCTGACATATTTCCAAATGATTTTTGTCTGTTTCTAAATATCTATGAAGCAACGAAGATTTAACATCACTTAAGTAATGCAGAAAACAAAATCTATTTGTCCTGAAGGCAATTTCTTGAAGGAATTGAAGACATATGCCGAGAAGACAGGGTAGGATGTTAAGGTTGTTGAAAGCATAAAATTTACCATGGTTACAATGTAGAAGCGATCCTCATTTGATGGTGCAAAGTATTGTTAAAAATCAGTTGTATGTCCTGGAAACAATATGTCTAGTAACATATGTACAGTTTTTCAGTGTCACATACAAGTTTTATGATCAATTGGAAGATAATTTTCATTTTGACTGTATTTTATCAAATGTGAAGAGTTGCATGCAGAATTTTAAAACAGTTAATTTTAACCATATCATTAATTTTACAGCAATAATTTATGTATAAAGAGTTTATAGACAGTAAGAGATTCTTACTAATTTATTTGGAATTTTTAACCAAAGAAAGGAGTTGGCCAAATTGCTTGCCTATTTTAAAACTATACATGGACATTTTCCTTATGGATGTTCCAGTTCTTTTGGTCAGAGTAGAAGTGATCTTTCACGATCATAGACTAAAACGAGAAGCTACTAAAAGGAGAGTGTTAACTAAAAAAAATCACGTTTCTGGCATTTTGGCATGAAATTTTGGTATAATTTTTAACTGATTTATCTCTATCTTAGCTGTATTTTTTTGTTTGAACTAACATTAAAATTAATTTACTGTTCTTATGTCGACATTAGTTGGTTGGATAAATATGACAGAATATTGGATGGTGCAAAGTACCTCTTTTTACTAAAGACTTTTTTGGATACTATAATTTGCATGCAGCTTATCGTCAATATGTAAGATTAGGATCATAACCCTGGTCTCAGGAAGCTGTTAACTTAATGAGGGCAAGTGAAGGCTAGACCAGGTAGCCAGTGATGTATTTATATATTCTTTTTTTTTCTTTCTTTTTTTTTTCTTTTGAGACGGAGTCTCGTTCTGTCGCCCAGGCTGGAGTGCAGTGGCCACATCTCAGCTCACTGCAAGCTCCGCCTCCTGGGTTCAGACCATTCTCCTGCCTCAGCCTCCCGAGTAGCTGGGACTACAGGCGCCCGCCACCACGCCCGGCTAATTTTTTGTATTTTTAGTAGAGACGGGGTTTCACCGTGTTAGCCAGGATGGTCTCAATCTCCTGACCTCATGTTGCACCCGTCTCGGCCTCCCAAAGTGCTGGGATTACAGGCTTGAGCCACCGCGCCCGGCCATATTTATACATTCTTGTAGCTGTGTATATTGAAGAGGGAGTTTCCAAATTCTTCATTTTACTTTTTAAAAAAGATGGGATATAACTTTATTTAAGGTTTACTTTTTCATTTCTTAATTTAAATACAAAATGTTGTAAATAATTTAGAAATTTAGAAAAATTTAGCCATTAAATATAGTAAGTAATCTTTCTAATGCTTTAATAATATCGCTAACTAATAATGGTTTTCTAAGATTTTAATTTGAACAGTCTTTAAACGGATGCTTATCAAGACCAAGGCCTTTCGGTCTATTACTGAGATTGTGGAGTTTTAGGACAACCTAGAACTAAAATAATATACATATGATTATACCTAAATGTATGTCTATTTTTATCTATTTAGGATTAGATGTAATCCTTTCTGTAAAATAATATTCTTGCATGAGTACGTACAGTCTCATCAATCAGGTATAACACAAAAGCCTAGGTTAGATAAACTGGTTTTCCATACTAATACTGAAATTAGCAAAATATGGTCATATCACAACATTTATTTGAAAACATATTTAGGCATAGCTCAGGTTCTCATTCTGTAGTGTATAAGATGCTTTCACCATAATTTCTGGAGGAGATACTATAATTATCTAATAAGGTTAGTTGTGTTTTCTACATTACATTGTGGTTCATTTTCAATTTCTATTTGTAGTTTTCTGTGTGTTAATTAAGAGTCTAAAGACAATCACATTAAGGACATGTTTAAATAAAAGTGGTAATTATTAGTATATTAGACTAAAGAACATCTCAAAACTATCATTCCCTCAGTGCTAGATTATAGTGTTTAAGGTGATACCTAATAATAACTATGCTAACTGTTGTAATTAAATGGCACAGAATAACACTGACGAGGGCTCTTCTTATCTATAACATTAACCAAGTAACTGTCTTTTATTTCTTGTATTTTGGTTCATAGCTCATTAGATAATTTCACATGAATTATGTTTTTTGAGGTAGGCAACCACGTTTTGTCAGA